ACAGACTGAACAGCAGAAGAACTGAACAACCGAACAACCGGTCGCTAAGATGTGCGCTGACCATCAGGGAGCACGTGCGGAACACAGCAGGCGTCGGCAGCAGGCGTCAGCCGTGGCAGTATGGTGGAGCAGGTGAGCGGGGGCGCCAGACCAAGGCGGGGCGCCAGTCACTGTCCTCAGGACAAGCCTCTGATGGTACTGAAAATTCTTTGCTCCTGCATGCGTTCCGCCCAGCGCTTACACCTGCTGCCAGCACCTGAGCCACCACTCGCACCCACTGTCAGTGCCAGCCCCGCTCACATCCGCTGCTGGCACCTAGTGCAGGTCCCGATTGCTCGACACCATCAGCAGGTGCAAGTGGCAGCTGCTGGCCCCAAGACCTGCTTCATGATCCTTCAGCATCTTGTTGATGCTTGGCATCTTCCCAGCATCTGGGTCAGCAGAGCAACACCCCAGTGTACCCCTGCCGCCTGGGACCAGGGCAGACCCAGGCGCCTGTAGGAAAGAGGCGGTCATCAATGCTCAACGCAGTTGGTGTGAGCGAGGCTGGTGCAATCAGCACATGGGAGCAGCGGCAGCAGCGGGAGAGAGGATGCTGGAAGACAGTGGACTGGGGCCATGGTGGGAGGCGCCAGGTGGGAGCGCAGAGGATGAGGATGGGCCAAACCCCGCCCCTATGCCCACTGCAGCCTCGCAGCCCACAGTTCCTTTCAAGGTGCACAGATTCGTGCACTGGGTCCGCACACTATAACAGGATATTATAGCATATCCTTTTAAGTTATGTAACTCAAAAGGGACATAAAAAGTTAGTTTCAAATGCAGAAAATAAATATATACCCTACCTAGGCCTAAGGACCCTACCCGTGCATGAAATTCATGCACTGAGTCTCTAGTTTCTAATAAAATATTTCCTAAACTTAAAAGCAATTAGGAAAATAGATAAAATTGACTTCATCCAAATTCAAAACTTGTGTGTATCAAAAGTTACAACCAAGAAAGTGAAAAGGCAACCCATAGAACTAGAGGAAACTTTTCAAATATATCTGAAAAAGTATTAATAGCCCTTTTTAATAATATATATCCTTTTAAAGTTATAATAATACAAAGTATTCTTATAATTAATAAAAAAGAAACCAATTTAAAAATTGGCAAAGGGCTTAGGTTAAATTTACCCCAAAGATATACAAATGGATAACAAGCACATAAATGCTCAAGATTATTAGTTACTAGAGGCCCAATGCATGTAATTCATGTAAGAGTAGGCCTTCCTTCCCCCAAGTGCAGGCACCAGCTTCCCTCTGGCACCCTGGACCCAGGCTTCCCTCCAGACGCTGGCAGGCACCTGGAACCTAGGCTTCTCTCATAGCCCCAGCTTCATCTGGAAGGACATCTGTACTAATTAGCGTATTACGCTTTTATTATTATAGAGGTCTGGAGCACGAAATTCATGCACGGGATGGGGGTGGTTCCCTCAGCCCGGCATGCACCCTCTCCAATCTGGGACCAGTGATTACACTATGTATGCCAGGTTGGGCTAAGCCTTTCCCAGTATTATCTTGTTCAACACAAGAGTGAAAGACAGTGGGTTCTCAAGACTAGATTTTGAATCCTGCCAAAGAGCAAAAAGTTATTCATTAGAAATGAAGAGTATAGCAAATCAGCAAAATTAGCCCTAGCAGCTTTGCTCAATGGTTAGAGCATCAGCCTCCGGACTGAAGGGTTTTGGGATCAATTCCGGTCAAGGGCACTACCTTCATTGCAGGCTCAATCCTGTCCCTGGTTGGCCGGTGCTGAAGGCAACCAATGGATGTTTCACTCTCTCTGTCTCTCCACCTCCATTCTACTCTCTCTAAAAATCAGTGGAAAAAAAATATCTTGGGGTAAGGTTTAACCAAAAAAAAAAAAAAAATCAGCAAAATGATAACTATCCACTCATTCCTAGAACTGACAGCAATCCAACCACAAAGTCAGCTTAGTTATCACATGAATTCATGCTATAGCTTACCAAGGTCAGGACTATGAATGAAGCAGTGCAGGCCATTATTAGTGCCACCACACACAAAAATAAAAACAATACAATCAGTAGAATGTCCTTCCTCTCTGAAGGACAGCATTTTTAGGTATAAATATGTTTGTATTATATTATGAGTCCAGGTAGGAGCCCAAAGGTGAAAAAATTGTTAAGTACTTAAAAAACTGTGTTCATTTATTTGAGAAATCTGAGGACAGATGTGATTTTTGAAAATAGCCAAATGTCATGTAGAGTCAAATATGGTGAATAATGCAAGATTATCAACTAGGGTAAATCAGTTTTTGCCAAAATCTGAAGTATTCCTGAAAATTTTTCTTGTATGACTTCTAAATTGGTTACAAAAATAGAGTTCTCAAAATGTCCTCAGAAGCAGTGAAGGTCTGAGGTTATGGCCCTGCAGCATCTATGCAGGCGGCTGGGCGGGGTAGGGCAGCAGCTGCTAGATGGGTCAGTGGGAGAAGTGGGTGCAGCCCTTGGCCCTGCACCCCCAGTGCAATTGTGAGGTGCAGGTACGCAACACCCGACGCCAAGCCAGCAGGGCTCAGCTCTACTCTGATGTGGTCTGGACTGGCACACAGTCCCAAGGTGCAGCGGATCCCAGACTGAGATGGAGCAAGAGGATGAGGTGCTGAACCAGTAGCAGGCAGCTCAGCACCAGATGGCAGAGAATGCTGAGAAGTCAAAATAAATCTTGGACATGTCTCCATCTCCCGGAAGCAGAGGAGTGCATACCTATTGGAACCATAGTTCATAAGGCATTCAACACATCCTTCAGTGCCCACAGCTGGAGAGGATCCCCTTGGTTTCTGCTCAGGCGCCCAGGCAGAATGCAAATGAAATGGGGCCACAGTGTGTTGCTGCCTCAGCCTGGTGTGAACTATTAGCCCCAAGTGACTCTCCCTCCTTCCCAAATGATTTACTGTCAGGGAATGCCTCCCTCTCTACTAGGAATGATGATTTTCAAGGGGCCCCAGATGATGTCCTTAGGAAAGTCCAATATTCCAGGAATGGCCATGACTTTCAACGGGAATCTAAAGATGCCCTCCATGGGCCACACCAGTCACAGTGTCCCACATGAGGACACCAACAATGCATTATTCTGGCCACCCTATAGTACCTAAAATGTTATTGCCTCTAACTATACCTTCTGCTGGGTGCCAGGCAAGACTCCTTTCTTTGGCTCAGATGTTGTCCCTTAGAGATCCCCACAAGTGTGGAATGCTCCCAGATGAGTCCCCATCATTGCTGACTTTAGAATCGCAGGACTCTTTTGTTAGCCAGCCAGCCTCCCAGAAAGACACCTTACTACCTGAGCGGCCCATACCTGCTCCACAAAGAGCAGAGCAGAAGTGCAGGGCTCTAGAAAGGGCTCCCATGAGGAGAGCCCCAGTTGGAAGTCCTTAATGCTGCCAGTATGAGAACTGTGAAAAAGCTTACACTAAGCTCTTCCACCTCCTGAGTCACCAACGCACACACAGGTGAGAGGCCCTATAAATGTGAGTGGGAAGGTTGTACATGGCCATTCTTCCGTTCTAATCAGCTTGGACGAGATATATGGATACATACCAGATACCAGCTACATATATATGATCAGTGCGTCCAAAAATTCTTGAGATCTGACCATCTCAGGCAACACCAAAGAACTCATCTTTGGGTGCCAGGATCCCCCAATCCACAGGCCAACAATGAACAGAGAGCCTCATTTTGGCTTCTCCACTCAGATCCTGCCTGCCTCTGACCAGCTAGTCTCTTTAGTAGGTTTAGACTTAAATGCAGTCAGAGAAAGAGTATGAGGTAGTGTTGAATGAAGCCCATATGAGTAGGACCCTGTCAGGTACTCTTCAAAAACTATCTTGGATGCCCTTACCTCTTTGGGTCCATCTACTTTCACTGAGTTTAGCTACATGGAAAGATGAAGCAAAGTAGAGATTGGGATCTTTATTAAAAAGCTCTTTATGTCACTTCCCAACTTGAAACCCTTCAGTGACTGTCCTTTACCTGCTACAAAAAATCCAAGTTCCTTATCTTGGTCTTCCAGTTTCCAGAGCCAGGCTATGTTCAAATCCTGACTTTACCACTTGTTAGCCATGTGACCTTGGGAAAGGTTTTCTGATGAGAAAAACACTATTAGACTGTTTGGGACACATCAATCAGATTCTGTCCATAATTCAACAGCCACATGCCCAGAGCTTCTGTCTCCTCCCACCACTTCCAGACTTGGATGAAATGCCCCACCGCAGGGCATGGGATCTGGCATCTTAAGTAGCCACTAGTAACACAGAAGCCTGGGGGAGTTAATCCTCTTGGGTAACATTCAACTAATGGGAGTTCAGAGAAACCCAGGCAGAAAAATTCCCTGTTCTTCCCTCCCGTCTCTGAATTGCGGCAAGGCACTGTTTCTCCAAACAGTAGAGCCAATGGGGAGTATTTCGGTGCTCCCA